CTTACAAGGCAGGTGCTTATGCCGCTGAGCTAAACCCCCAGCCCCTAGTGCCCCTTCTTTTTGATAATAAATATTTAGTGATGCCCGTTAGCCCTCTAAACCGAAATGTGTAGAAACGAGAAACTACCTTCTCACTAAACTGCAACAGACACCCACACACAAGGCTCTAACTCTAGCCTCAAGGAGAAATAGAAGAAAAATAGTGCTTACTAAGGTCGCAAGCGTTTCAACACTGTTTGCATAATGGTGTGACCACCCTGAAGACTGAGCTAATCAGATGCTGGTCTGGGTTCAAAGACTCACTTAGAAGGTCATGGCTGTGCGTACAGAGAGGCAGAACAGGCGCTTGGGTGTCTCTGGTGGCACTGCCTCTGAAGACTATGTTTTAAGATGGTGAATAGGACCTGGTAAAGTTCCAGTCAGAACATAACAGTCTGATTTGAACAATAGTGGCAACCAGGAAAATAAAGTGGAAATCAATATGAAGAAAAAAGCTACTTTGCATTTAGATATAAAAGGGAATCATATTCTAGGCGTAGGTATTCGAAAGTCATTTTTCCCTCTAACAGCAGTGGTTTGCAAAGCACGGTCTGCAGGCCAGCAGCATGAGAATCATCTGGGCTGTTTCTCAAGTCCACTGCAGACCTGATCTGTGGGGAGCCCCTGGGCAGAGCCTAACTAAAGACTCCCAGGAGCTCAAAGCTGGACAGAGGCTGCACAGGATGTGGGGCTGTTCTCACACAGCCCGAGTCTGCATCAGCCTTGGTGTCTGCCCACAAAATGCCAGTTCACTCCCAATCACTGCAGTACCCCGAATGCCCCGCCCCCACCCCAAACAGCCCTGCTAAGGACCACTGGCATAGATGGTCAGTAAGGGTACTTCCTGTTCAGCTTTCCTGAGGTTCCTGGCCTGGTGTGGGGCAGGCAGAGGGTGCCAGGCAGCTGAGGAGTCACCCGGGGTGCCCACTCTTCTGGCCGAGCCATGCTGCTCACCCCAGCTAGGGTCACCAAGGCGGTAGCTTTTGCTTCTTGTGGCTGCAAGTCTGGGGGAAAAGGGAGGCTCGACCCGCAAAGCCCCTTCCACGCGCAGCTGAGAGCACTTGACTGTGGAAACAGGCATAGCCACGGCTCGCTGGATGGTGCTAGGGTCTCAGACATTTCCCCTTGAAGCAGCTGTGACCGCCTGAGAAGCCAGGACCTTACTGGGGACAGTGCAGCCCTCCTCGAAAAGCGATGAGAGCTGCAGCCTGCCTAGGTCTGATCGATCTCCTGAGGCTGTGGAACCCCAGACCAGAGCCCCAAGAGTCCACAGGCCCTGGAGAAAAGTATCTGACCTAACACAGATCCCAAGGCCACACTGAACACCCCATCTCACTCTGATCGTGACTGGACTCTTACTCTCTGTCTGTCCGTCTCTGTATGTGTGTGTCTGTGTTTCTTTGTCTGTCTGTCTGTCTGTCTGTCTGTCTCTCTCTCTCTCTCTCCAGCAGTCTAGGAGGGAGGAGGGACCGGAAGCTGTGAATTTCTCAGGCTTTGTTCAGCCGAGTCCAAGCTATTGAATGGGGCAGCCAAGCCAGCAGCCCCTGCACAGTGGCCTGGGCATCCACCCTCATGTTTTCACACACTGTATGACAGGGATGATCAGAGTCCACCCAAATCCACGTTCTGTCCTTCCAGGACACCCAGCCAGATTCTGCTCTCAGCCCTGTTCTCACACATGGCCATGTGATTAAGGGCTGGCCAAGAGGGCATGAAGAGCTGCATCTCCTCCTCGTTCTCACTTGCTCTTCCTGTCAGAGGCATGCAGGTGACAAGGGCCAAAATAATGATGAAGCTATGGGACATGGAGAGCCAGGATCTTCACTGCCCAGAGAGCCACAGGCAGATTGAGAGTCATTCAGCCTTGCATGTGCAATGCCAGACTAGCACTATCAGAAGAAATACTAAGCCAGGCATGGTGGTGCACGTCTGACACCCCAGCACACTGGGAGACTGAGGCAGGAAGACTGTAAATTCAAGCCCAGCCTGGGCAAGTCAGCAACAAGGAAAACATGTCTTATAATAATTTTTTTAAAAAATTTTTAGAGGGCTGGGGATGTATCTCAGTGCAAAGGCTGTAGGTCCACCCTCTTGTACAATCAAGCAATGAATCAATGAAATAGGAGAACTGACAGAAGAAACAAGCTTCTATTGTGAATTTCCATAGAAGATCAAACTTTTGTTGTGTTGGAATCCTTACACATTCTGTGATCTGTTTGTAGTGGTAGGTGAGGCTAACTAATACCTTCTATGACATTAGCAAATGGTGACACCTGGGTCGTATCTGTTGCAGCTGGAAGTGGGCGTGGCACTTCCCAGGGCTCTCTGTTCCTGTGCAGTGTGACTCTCTAATGCTAATCTCACCTTTCATGTGAGTGGCTGAGGGTGATCATCCTCACAGAGGTGTCTTAGCATACATGCGGCATGGGTGTTCCAGCTTAGCTGTCAACATGGTACATTAAGAGGAGGGTCTTTAGGAAGGGTTAAGGTATGATGGCTCAACCCTCAAAAGTGGGATTAGTACCATTATGTGAAAAGGTTGAGGAGCTGGGGGTTTAGCTTAGCGGCATAAGTGCCTGCCTGGCAAGCACAAGGTCATGAGTTCAATTCCCGGTGCCAAAAAAATGAAATGAAATGAAAGGTTGAAGGGGGCATGTTAGCCCCCTTTTCCTTCTGCTGAGAGTGTACACAGTGTTTGTCCCCTTCAGAGAGCACAGCAGCCAGGTGCCATATTGGAATCGGAAAAGGAATCCTCTGCAGGCACCAGGTCTGCCTGCACTTCATCTTGGACTTCCGGATTCCAGAACTGTGAGAAATAAATTGCCTAATCCACTTTGTTATACAGCAGAAAAAGCCAAGTACTAAGACAGCCAGACACTATCTGCAGCATTCAATCTCTCTTCCCCACAGAAACATCAAGTAAAATACTTAGGTACTTATCTGCCTCTAGCTGACAAATAATGTCCTGATAATTTTCCTCACTATGGGAACAAATGCCCAACACCCACTGCTTCAAGGAGGAGGAGAGGGTTATTTATCTTAGGTTTCACAAGTCTGAGTCCTTGCATGGTCGGTTGGCTCCAGAGAACAGTGGTGTGGTGATAGGACCTGGGTGGAGAAAACTGCCCATGTCCTTGTGGTCAGGAAGCAGAGGCATAATTCAGGAACCAGGGAGGAAGATATACTCTCCCTGTGACCTGCCAGTTTGATCAGATCACACCTTCTAAAAGCTAGGTCAGCTATACAACCCCCGTGATTCAATCACTCTCCCAAAGCCCTGCCTATGAGTACATGAGGCCTTTAGGGGACATTCTTGATCCCCATGACATTCTACTCATGGCCCCTCAAAGACTCATGCTCATCTCTTTATGCAAAATGCATGTAAGTCCGTCTTTACATTGCTACAGTCTTAACATTTCCAGAACTATAGATAAATTCTAAATCCAAAGTCTCCTCTGAGACTCAAGGCAAACTGTTACCTATAAGCTCCTATAAAAATTTTTAAAAATTGCCAACATACACTGGCATCAAGTAAACATTTCCATTCCAAAGGGGAAGAATAGGACTATAGAAAAAAAATGGAACCAAAGCAAGACCAAAGTTCAGCAAGGAAGACATTAAATCATATAGCTCCATGTCAGCACGTGGAACAAAGATGTGTGCTTCAAATGGCATGGGTGACATTCTCCTACAGCACTGCCAGTTGCATCCTTCATGGCCTCTCTCTTGGAGTGGCTTTGCTCACTGCTGGCAGCTTTCTTCAGATATTTCACATTCTGGGCATTTCCATTGCACTGTCAGCCTCACCCTCACAGCTTCACACACTGTCCTCTCAAGGACACTCTGCATGGTGCCCGAGGCCTTCTTCTGAAATCTGGGCAGAAACCTTCCTGAGCCCGTAACTCTTGCATTCTGCATATCTGTAAATTCAGCACCATATGGATGACACCAAGGTCTGCTGCCAGTTTGAGTAACAGCCAGGTCTCCTTGGATCATTTTTATAGAGCTCTCTGAGTATCTGGTTGGCTAAGCACTATGAGTAAATTTGCAGGAAACAAATTCTCTAAGAGGCCCTTCCCCAGCTGGGTGCCCTGTCTTCTCAAAGTAAAATCTTTTACACCTCACATTGTAAGGTGAAGAGTATAGTCTTGCTGATTCCTCAAATGCCCTCAGGGCAGTCTTTCTACTGTCCTGATGTAAAGTACTTGACTTCTTTTTAATGTTAATTTTTTCAGTAACCAAATTGTTCTGGCCAAAAACTTTACTGATTCCTAACTTTACAGGTGCTGGCTTTCTGGCAAAAACTGAAAACTTTAAAAGTCATATAGTTGTACTGTTTGTTACTGATTCTCAGTAAAAAGCAATGAACAGTACCCATGCCACAACCTGAATGTTAGGCTGCCTTGAATGTTCCTCTGCCAGATTAATTAGTCTATTACCCTTAATCTCTTCCCACAAAGTCTCAGAAGTTGAACAAACAGGTAGACAAATTTTCTACCAGATCACAGCACATATAGTCTTGAGTCCAACTACCTCTGGAGTCCTTCCTAACTGAAACCTCCTAAACCTCCCTGGTCTTTACCATCTGAATTTTTATCAGTGCTCTGGTTTTCTGAGTTCTGACCAGAAGCTCAGCTAATAGCATTCTAGGGCTTCCTTAGCTGGCACCTCCAAATCTTTTCCAAACTCCAATAAACTAGTTCCAAAATCTTCTAAAACACATGGTCATGTAGTTTAGCAACCACCCCATTCTTTGTACCAAAATGTGTCTTGTTCACCTTTTTTTTTTTTTTTTTTTAGATTTATTTAGCTCATGGTTTATAGAGGCTTTGGTCCATAATTGACGGACTCCAAGGCAGGGTGGCAGAGAGGTGACTGTTTATGGCAGTGGAAGACAGCAAAAGTGACAAGTGAGGATTGATCACTTTCTTTGCTACTGTAACAAATACCCAACATCCTACTTAAAGAAGGAGAGGTTTATTTTGGCTTGTGGTTCCAGAAATCTCTGTGCCTGCATGATCAGCTGCCTCTAGGTGGAAGTAGCATGCATGGTAGAGGGCCTGGGTAGAGGAAAGATCCTCATGTCATGGCCGTCAAGTAACAGATAGAAAAATGAGGCGCCAGGGAGGGGGATACACTCTCCCAGGTCACACCCCCAAGTGATCCGCCTCTTCTTACTGGATCCTGTCTCCTAACAGCAAGTGAGTTACGTCATCCCTGTGACTCAATCACTTTCCAAAAGCCCCACCTAAGAGTCCAAGAAGTCTCTGAGTGACATTTTTCATCTAAACCATAACAAATTACATTGAGACACAGAGATATAAAAGGTCACGGATTTAGTGCGTGATAGAACTCAAAGCCCGGCATGCTGAGGTCAGAGCTCTTGCAGAAACAAGTAAGATAACAGACGAGCTGAGGGTGGCTCCCAGCTTCTGGCATGGTGACTGAGCACTTGTGTAGCCTCTGCTTCCTCTGCTGGCCTGGAATGCAGACGAGCCAGGTTGAAAGCTAGAGGACTGCCTGCTTGACCTCTTGGCTGGCCAGCATCCTGGATGGCTGTGTTTCTCTTCAGGACCCAACATGGTTCTGGGGGAAATGATGTATCTTGGTTACTTTTTGCTGAGACAAAATACCTGATGCCCAAAATGAAGGAAGGAAAGAATTACTTCTTACAGTTTGGGAGGTTTCAGTTCATACTCAGTTGGCATCGAGTGGCAGGATGGCATGGTGGGCCACCATTCATGGCCAGCTGCAAACAGCAAGCCCAAGCCAGCAAGAGAGAAAGACACACCTTCCCGCCATTACATCATGTGCTGGCCCCACCCCTAGGCAGATGAAACTCACACCACCAATCCGAGCACAAGACAGTGAACCAATCACAAATGCTAGATTTGGTCAAGTCCATAATTCATGAGGCTTGGGGTCCACTGACATAAACCATGACACCATGGATTTTGGATGATTCCACAATTGCACCCCTAATCCTGTGTTGAACACTACTGCCTGGGACTGGGGACCCAGCAGCCACTGAGAGCAAGCTCTGCAGAGGAGAGGCCAGGGCAACCAGGGCCCAGAGCCAGCACCGTCCTCACATTGAGTAGTGATCAGCCCCCCACCTCAAATCCCCTTTGCATGGCTGACCTTCACCTCTGCTGTTGTGGGCTGTGATGCCAGGATGTGGGGGGGGGGGGCAATCCTGGGAAGGGCTGGGAATGAGGAGCAGAGAAAGGGCAAGGTTGAGCTCTGTGAGCCCATCCTGTGAGCAGAAAAGACCTGAAGCCACCACATGGCCCCAGGCAGGAAGGGAAACAGGAGGCTTCTCAAAATAGACCCGAAGCAGGCAGCTCGGCTGTATTCCCCGCTCCTGCCATCTGGCGAGGCCTGGGCCGGAAGAGAGGTGGGGGAGGGGATGGCCTGCATGAGGATGGCTTCCTGCTGTCAGTCCACAGCCAAGCTGGTAGCCCACTATTCACCCAGTACTTTCCCTGCTGGGCTTTGTGTTCAGACAGGATCATGACCATCTGACCTATGAGGAAACTGAGGTCCAGAGAAGTAAAGTGACTTGTCCGAGGCCACCCAGCTGGGCAGCAGCAGAGCTGAGTGGACATGCATAGGGTGCTAAGCTGTCCCCAACAGATTGAGGCCTGCAGCTTGCACGTCCCGAGCCCCCACTATTAGTGCTCTGCCTTGGGACTGGATCTAACCCATGGAGAACAGTCCTGATGGAGTCGCACTGCCCCATGGCTGCCTGGGAAGCTGCAGCAGCACAGAGTTGAGTGAATGACAAAAGATAGGGAAGAGGGTTGGGTGCCTCAGGGGAACCAGCCTCACCCAGGGACCTGCCGCCATCACCAGCAGCCCAGTCCTCGTCTCCCTCGGCAGTAGCCAAAGTAGGGGAGACAGTGGAGAGGTCAGGGGAACCCCAACTAGAAGTGATGCACCAGGGCAGGGGAGCGGTGAGGATTTCCTGAAAGGGGGGCCAGGGCTGGGCGGGGAGCTGGGGTTCGGCTCCACCCAGGGAGCCTCTGTAGCTCAGGGGCCCTGCAGCTGCTTCTCTGTGGGCTTTGCCAAGCAGCTCCCCTTCCAGGACAGCACGGGGCCCAGACAGGACAGGGGACGGCAGGGCTCTTTCTCAGGTCCTCCTGCTTTCCTGGAGTGAGAAACCAGGAAGGCCAGCACTGGACACCCGGTACTTGGAGCCTGAAGAAAAGGCCAGGCCTTGGGGCAAAGGGAAAGTGAGGAGACTTCCTAAAAACAGGGCTTAGCACACAAGCAAAGTGGGGCTCCCTGGTCTCCAACAAAGCTTGGTTTCACCAAGTCTTTTCTGGGACCCACCATGAAGCTGGGCACCCTGGAGGCTCCAGAAGTCATCAGCAGTCAGGTGGGAACAGAAAGGAAGGTGGAGAGGAGTGCACTGAACCACTGAGGGGCCCCCTCAGTTACCGGGGGACTCGGGGGCGCCCTGGAGGAACCACACCCGCCCACTCAGGGAAGCCCATGGATGCGGCTGAATCCCACCGCAGAGACTCATGTAGGGCTGGGATGAGGCTCTGAAGGAGTTTAGAGTTCAGCTCACACTATCAGCCTGCCGGGTGCAGGGCTGTATTTTGAAACCGGGCTGCCTCGGGCTGAGTGCGAACTCCACCGCTCTTAGAGGGTAAGTTATGCAACTCCTTCAAGCCTCGGTTTCCTCCTCCACCTGATGGGACTTGGAACGGCACCCACCATGTGGAGCGAGGGGTAAATGGACCGATGTCTCAAAGCACTTAGCAGGGCAGATAGCATTATAAAGCACTCTGTCACTGTGAGCTGTTGTTTTTTATTACTAATATTGCTGTCATCTGTGTTATTATGCACACAACAGGACCTGGCCCCAGGCCCTGTGCTTGACACTGGAATTACACGAGGAATAAAACCAAATTCCCTGCTCTTGTTCCTAGAAGGCAAAGGGAGCTGTTCACACTTCAGTATGAATTAGTTTTATAAACTTAAAAGCAGGGAGGAGACTGAGAGGACCAAGGCCATATGAGAAAGAGTTCCACACCACGGATAACTGTGTCCTCAGGATCGGGGGACAGGGAATTTAACCGTCCTGTTTTGTCGGGTGGTGGGTGGTGGGTGGTGGGTGTGCAGAACTGACCCTTGAGGTGGAAACCGGGAAAACTAGTTTCCAGGAAGATTCTTTCAGATGCTGGAAATTCCCTGCAGGGGCTGGAGGAAGAAGCGTCCATTAAAGGGCCTGAAAGGAAAAATCGCTGCTTGCCAAGAGCGCAGTATTATTCCCAGCGCATCCCGGCTCCTGCCGGGATTCCACGCCGCCTGGGCCTTGAACCTTCGCCTGCTAAGCTATCTCCATTCTGTTCTCTTGGGAAGAGGGCGCACCCTATTTTGGGAATTTTGCGTTGCCACCTCCTCCTCCCCCAGGAGAGGGACAATTCCTGGGCCTGGCCTGGTGACCTTCCTGGCTCAGACAGAGGCAGAACAAGGGAGGGGGGCTCAGTGGGCTCATGACCCAGATTTTACTTCCTGTTCTGCTCCCCTCTGTTCCCAGATGTAGGATGTGGCGGGACACTGAGCCCAGCCCAGGGGAAACTTAGGCCACATCTTCCTACATCCATAATGAAGCAGAGACCTGCTCCGGGCCACCAATAGGCACTAGTTACATGCATTTATGCCAAGTCTGCTGATGCTGGGTGATCAGGAAGTCCAATAGCCATCTGCAAATTAATGACTGGGGAGGTGGGGGTGTCTTTATCGGCTACTTAATGCTAAGGTGATGAGAAAGACTGAGCCCAGTAAAGTGCTAGGGAAATGGCTTTTCTGGGTAGCAGAAGCAGCAGCAGATGCAAAGGCCCTGTGGCACATAAGCACTAAGCATTGTCATCAAGGAGTGGCTACCATGGGAGGCTGCAGAACAGAAAGGAGCAAGCAGCAGTCCCAGGAGAAAGCTTTGTGAGGGGTGAGGGGCTTGGAGGCACTGGGAAGCCAGGGACGCACTGGCTGTAAGGAAGAGGACAAAGGGGATCCAGGCGATGTTTTTGGGTCCTACTTTGCTCAGGAGGCAGAAGGATATTTCTGGTGCTGACTGTAATCATGATCATTATTCTTCGTGCTTGCACCTCCCTCCCTGTACTATCAGGCTGAGCCCCTCCAGGCCAGGGACCTCATGGAGAGTTCTGAGGGTGGCAGCCCAGTGCCTGGGGACTAGGTGGAGGAGACTCCGTAAATATTTGTGAAATCAACGGGTGAACGGGCAGAGGCTGGAAGACAGCTCTGTCTACAGTCAGCAAAGGCTCTGTGGCAGAAAATGGGCCAGGTTGCAGCTCCCCTGGGAAACTCAGCCTCGGCCCCAGCTTTCCCATCTCTCTGGTTGCCCTGCCTGCCAGCTTCCTGCCAGGAAACACGGCCCCCAGGCATAAATCATTAACTACAATCACCCCTTCCCTGAGGACACACTTACGGTTTCTAAGCTCTGCCTTCCACTACTCCAAGGGACCCCGAGCAGCAGCGCAGGGGTGGTGAGCACCACAGCCCCCACTGTGGGCAGGAGCAGGAAGAGCCGCCCTGGCCAGTACTGGTGCAGCCAGGAGGGAACACAGGCTGCCCTCGCCCAGTTTCTCAGGTCTCCTTGTGAGCCTGGCTGTCCCTGTTCCCTGAGAGCGGTGCCTTTAAACCAGAGACCACCTAAGAAGAAGGGGCCTGGCATCGTGCATTGTGGCTGCCAAAATGAAATACCATGAAGCAGGTGGCCCCTGAGCAGCAGAAATGCAGCTCTCACAGTTCTGCAGGCTGGGGTGTCTAAGATAAAGGCGCTGGGCATTTGGGGTCTGGCAAGGGTCCTCTGTCTGGCTCACAGGTGGGCCCTTCTCACCAGCCCTTGCAAAGGTCTCTCCAGCTCCTTGCAAAGGCATGGATGTCTCCTGAGCTCTGTGGCAGGACCTAGTCGCCCTCCCCAAGCCCAGCCTGCTAGCACCCTCACCTGGGGACGAAGGGTGGCCAGGGAACGTGGAGGGGTACAGAGAGACCAGAAACGAGCGTTCACGGTGGCCTTGCAGGAGTGTGACATCCAAGAAAAGAGGCTGGGTGAGGGGCCAATCTCTCTGCAAAGCCTGTCCCGCCTGGGGGTAGGATTCCCTGGAGAGCCAGCTCCCTCCTGAGCCTTCCACTGCGGTCCACGTTCCTGGCTCACCCTCCCTCATCCCTCCCACTAGAACCAGTGGAGGAAGAAGCTAGAAAGAACTCGATGCACTACCTTAGCCAAATCCCTGAGCCTCAGTTTCCCCATCAGACAGGCAGGGAGCCAGACACAGTGTGGCAGTTGGCTGTCTGTCCTGCGAGCTCTGAGTTTCCCTCTGACCCCACAGTCCCTGGCTCCTTCACTGAACCAAAGACTGGGACTGAGGTCTACTCCTGCCCCTGCCACACACAGCTCCCAGGGCCACCCTTCTGGTGGCCTGGAGCCAGGAGACCCACAGGAGCACTCAGTCATTTCCCAGACACAGGCCACCTGCTGTCCGCCGCCTAGGTCCTGTGGCTGGGGTTGGAGCAGCTCCCTGTGGTAGGCGAGGCTGAGCAGGAAGGGGACAGTACCTACCTCTGCTTGGAAAACCAGTTGTGCAACTCCATCCCGTGGAGGGAGGCACGTGGGCGCTGGGAAAGGCGGCCGAAGGAGCCAGAGCCTTCTTTGAAATGAATATCTTGGCAAGGCACACAGAGAAATATCCTCTCGGACGTCACGAGCTCTTGTTTGTGGTTAATTCATTCAGCCTGGCTGTGGTGTCCTGTCCCTCCCTGGTACCCTTGGAGACAGAGCCTTGTCATGTCATTGGCCAGGGTCCCTGAGTCGAGTGGCAGTGTGGACCCCACGGCTGACCCTGTTCGTACCCAGAGGTCGCATGAGCCCGAGGTACACGGACTGGCTTCTCCCAGCCAGCAGGAGCCTCCTGTAATGAGTGGAAGTCATTTTCCACCTCTAATAAGTGAGGCAGACTAAGGGACAGAGGTCGGGGAGAGATTGAATGGTATCGTTACACGCAGTGTCTTTTTTCTTTTAACCTGAGTTGGTTCTAAAGATGATGAAATAACTGCACCCTTGTCTGGAATGAGTGTATGATGGTCATCCGTATTAGACACCCACCACGTGCAGAAGCAGGGCCAGGGGTTTCACTTATGCTGCCCCCTCTCGCTGCAGCTCTAAGAAGTACATTTTGTTATCACTAGCAAATGGCACCGAGAGGCCACCGTGATCACCCAGCGGCAGGCCCACATCCTGTCTGAGTCTCCCCAGACCCCACCAAGACCCCATCAAGTCCCTCCTGAGTGTTTCATGATTATTTTGTTTTGTTTTGTTGTTTAATCTTTATTTTAATTTTTTTGCAGTGCTGGGGTTCTAATCCAAGGCCTGGCACACGCTGCAGGAACGCCCCTCATAATTACTCTGAAGGATGACACCGAACAAACCATTCACAGATGTGACACAAGCCTTCGAAAGGGACCATGTCCTTTCATGGTCCCAGCCAAACAGCACTCTCCCCTCTCCCAGGAGAGGCCTTCCCTGTTCCTCACCCCCTGGAGGAGCTCCCCGGCCTGTCACCCTCCTCTGTCCTTCCCTACTGCTCCTCGCACATTGGTGGCACCCAAGAGCCTTTTACACATTTCCACCGTGACCATCTGTCTCCTGGGTCAGACTGTACACACAGTCAAAGCCAGGACCCCTAGTTCCACACATATAGTAGGTGCTCAATAAATGTTTCTGGATGGATATGGACGTGAAAGCAATGTGCTTCTTCTTCCTTACAAATGATCTCTAATTCAAACTTGGCCTCTTGTTCCTAATTGATTACAAGTAACTGTGTGTTTTCTTTACCTGTGCTTGTGTCCCAGTTGTGCTCTCAGTCCCTTGAAAGCTTGGAAGAGGGAGACATGCTGACCTGAGAGATGGCCAAATGGAAGACCAGGGCTCTGAGTAGGACCCATTCAGATGCCCCTACGGCTTGGGGACTTGGCTGCACCCTCAGCCACTGTCTTCTCTCGGGATGCCTCAGCCAAAGGCAGCTTTCTCCTCAGTGCCGTCTTGATTACCAGTCAGTCACAGGCTGCTGGCCAGGGCACAGAGGCCTGTCCTCTGGTCCACACTTGGTACAGCACTGCAAGGCCTCCAACCTTGGGGTAATTTGGGCGTTGATCACCTGTACGCTGTCCCCCATGGCGTGACTCCCGGAGCACCTGCTGGCTCTGGTCTCACATAGCTCTCCAGGTCAGAGCTGGTACCTCTACCCTCTCCAGCCACCCCATGACAAAGTGGGGACCAGACCCCCAGACCCCTCACTTGCAGGCTCCTGCTAGAGCATTTAGGCTGCCAGGTCTGGGTGCTGGGGACTCAGCCAAATGAGCAGCAATGGTCAGACACACACACACACACACACACACACACACACACACACACATAATCAAGAGCACAGGGAGCGTGGCGGCACATTATATCTGGGGAAGTTAAGAAATGGGGAAAGTGGTGAAGAGGGTCTCTACTCCACGACTGGGGAGTGTATCATGACATTTTGGCAAATGGATTCAAAGCCACAAACAACCAAGTGGAGACTTTCACTCCCCTGCGGGGAGAATCTTCAGGCACCGAGGCCATGCCCTTCCCAGCAGGGCACCCTGCCAAGAAAGACAGTAAAGCTCCCAAGAGATGAGCACCAGAGCTTAGCTTTGGGCTGGGCTCCCAGATTATGAGCAGAGAGGCTTCCACCTGTCTTCCGCCCACAGACCCGAGGTGGTAGGAAGGAGGAGCTGTATGATCGGGAGGGATTATATTATGCTGCACTGGGAGGACGTTATCCTTTAGTGGATAAGCACTGACCAAAAATGCCCACTGTTGTTCTTGTATCTTCAAGACGAATGTGGCCATTGTAACAGCAGGGCCTGCCCGTACCCACCCTGACTTGAAACTCCGTGCCATACATATCTGTGGCTCTGTGCCCAGGGTTTCCCTTCGTCCACAAGGACAGTCTCGTCCAGTGCCAGCATAGGTTATAAGTGTCAGAATTAAGGCCTCCTTGATGCTGAGCTCAACCAGCGGATTGGGCAGCACAAAGATAAATGGGCGGCTAGTAAGGCTCCTGGGATCGCCAAACGGATTGATCCAGCCGCTCACACTGGGGACCTGCTCATCAGAGCACAAGCGGTGTTGGTTTCCTTCCTGCCTCCTCTCATTTCTCCACCCCTTCACCGCTTCCTGAATTCAGCTCCCAAATAAACTGAGTTCAAATCCTTGTCTCAGGTTTGCTGAAAACAACCTGAGATAGGGTTTGGGGTGACAGAGGTTCAGTGGCACCTAGGTGCAAACCCCTCCGCAGTCCAGGCAAACTGAGCTTCTGAGTCTCAAATTCCTCACCTGTTAAATGGGAATGATAATGACAATACGTGTCAATAGCTTGTGTTAAAGACTGAATGAGGTAATTCATAGAAAGCAATTTTCACAGGACCTGTGACTTACACCTAGCAGCAACTACTAGGTATAATTAACAGATGGCCAGACAAAACAGAGAACTCAATGACAAACATCTTGGAAGCAATGTTTAGAACAAATGACAAGCAAAGGATTAGTATTCCTAATATACAAAGAACTCTGACACACCATTAAGAGAAAGATGAAATAATGTTGACAGACAGCAGCAAAGGGAATGAGTAGATAGTTCACAGAAAGAAAAATGAAAGCACCCAGGACACATAATAAAAGATATTTAAGCTAACTCTACTCGCCATGAAAGAAATGCTTAAAACGAAACAAAGCAAAACATAATTCAATCTCATAAAACTGTCCATTTGGTGATTTTTAAAAAATATATTGTTATCTTTAACTGACACAGTAACTGTACATATTTATGGGGTACAATATGGCATTTTAGTACATGTACACAAGATGTAATGATCAGATCAGATTCCCTGATACATCTGTCACCTCCAACATTTTTGGGGGGGTTAGGAACAAGCAAAATCCTCTCCACTAGCTATTTTGAAATATTCAATTAATTGTTGCAAACTGAGTTGCTATAGTGTGTTATTGAACTTGAGATGTGATTCTTTTTTTTTTTTTTCTTTTTGTCTTTTTCCTTTTTATCAGTACCGGGGATCAAACTCACGACTGCCTGCTTGCAAGGCAGGCGCTTATGCCGCTGAGCTAAATCCCCAGCCTTGAGATGATTCTTGCAATTCAGCTGTACCCCAAAACCTTCCAACCATCATCTCTCCATCACCCCCAACCTTCCCTCGCTCTGCTGATCACTTCTCTTGTCTCTACAAGATGAACTTTCTTGTCTTTCTGTGTGCAACATCTTTTAAAGATTGATAACATCCTGCGAGATAAGGGTAAAGCAAAAACAACCAGCTAATGAGAACATCAATCGCTCCCACCCTTGTGCAGAACTGCTTTGTGCCTCTTATTTGTTCAAAGCCACAAATCACTTTTTGCTGTTCCCGTATCACACAGGATGTCATCTTCAAAAGACACTGTGCGTGGCCGGGTGTGGTGGTGCTCGCCTGTGATGCCAGCACTCGGGAGGCCAAGGCAGGTGGGTCACTGCAAGTTCAAGATCAGGGCACTGCATGACCCTATCTCAAAAGAGACAAAAGAAAAAGAAGTAAAACTTACTATGCATGGAAAGACAGAAATAGCGCATATTCTCATTCTCATTCATGTGTGGAAGCTAAGAAGCTGACCTCGTAGGAGTCGAGAATTTCTACTACAGAAGTTCCAGGCTTGTGCAAGATGGTTCATTTAGGAGGAGAAAAATTTAAAACAACCCATGTGATGGTTGCTGGGAGCTGAATTAATAAATTATGGTATCACTAAGCTACAGAATTCTAGGCATCCATTACGAAGAATGGGAAATTCACATGCACTGCTGGGGAAAGAACACTGGGACTTATTAGGAAGCAGAAATACGAGTTGCACAACTCTGCAGACAGCAACTTTCTATTTGTGCTTAAGTAATACTTTTACATAGCCTTGTAAATTTTTGTAACTGCATAGGTAAATCTGGAAATAATATACCAAGCAGTGGTAGTTATTTTCGAGGCTTGGGACTACAGAAAAATTTTACACCTAATTTTCTGACATCTGTGTTCGAGATTTTGAAGTGGGCATTCCATCAGAAACCATGCCAACCCCTGTCCATATCCCCATTCTCTGAAGCCATAAGGACACTGAGGAGACTCCTTGTGGGTGTCACCATATCCTCCAAGATGCTGGGAACAGGCTGTGTTCTAGGCACCGATGACAGGCTGCAGCCAGTAACAATAACTGTAAATGAAAAAGTCTCATAAAATGAGCCAGGCGTGGTGGTGCATGCCTGCAACCCCAGCACTTGGGAAGCTGAGGCAGGAGGATTGTTGCAAGTTCAAGACCAACCTGAGCTACAAAGTAAGCTCAAGGACAGTCTAAACTGCATAATGGGGCCCTGTCTGAAAAAAAAAAGATACAAGTACCCCATGGGTAGTAAGAGATTATTTACATCAAGGAGAAAAAAGTATTATATATTGCACACTAATGAAAATCTAAACAAGAAAAGATCTAGGAGAAAAACCAGCAAAAGGTGATTTTAAAAAATTCAGTATTTTTCACGTCTTCTTCAGTAAGCAAATACCTCATTTATACCTAGAAATAAAGCAATGACATCCATGGGGGTGCTCCTAGCTTGCCACAACCCATCTTTTAAG